TGATCATAGCTCTCTGCAGCCTGGAACTCCTGGGCTCAAGCAGTCCACCCAACTCAGCCTCCCGTAGTAGCTGGGACTACAGGCCAGTGCCGCTGCCCCAGGTTAACTTGAATTAATATTCTTTGAAAACAATTTTTGAATGGCTTCATAATATTCCATCTTATGGATATACCATATTTTAGTTAACCAATGCCCTATTGTTGGACATCTGGATTAATTATAATTTTTCCTCTTACAAGCAATACTGAGCTGCACATCCCTGTATATACGTCCTTGGTTATGAGTCTGATTATGTCCTTCAGACAACTTCCTCGGAGTTGAACTGCTGGATCAAAGGGTATGCACCCTCATGTTCTTCTGTTTTATTATTTTTTTAAGTAATAAAAGTAATACAAAGAGAACAATCTCACCTTAGCTGTTCCCGACCGGTCCCACTCCCCCACGGCAACCCACATTAACAATTTGGGATGTAGTCTCTCACACATTTTTCTTTACAAATACAGTTCTTTCCTCTTTTGTTTTTATTAAAATGGGAAGGCATGCTTGTTTAGTTGTTGTTGTTTGTTTTTTGAGACAGCCTATCGCTTTGTGGCCCTGGCGTCATGACCGCTCACTGCAAGCTCAAACTCCCAGGCTCAAGTGATCCTCCTGTTTCAGCCTCCAGAATAGCTGGGACTACAGGTGCGCACCACCATGCCCAGCTAATTTTTCTATTTTTTGTATTTTTCTCTCTTGTTTAGGCTAGTCTCCAATTCCTGACCTCAAGCAATCCTCCCGTCTTGGCCTCCCAAAGTGCTAGGATTACAGGAGGGAGCCACCGCGCCTGGCCAGCATGCATATTTTTAAAGGTGCATGTCAGTTAGTGTTGAATATTGATGGAATATAACAATAATTATAACTGCCACTCATGCCAGGCACCGGACACCCAGCACTGTTGACAAGTGTTTTATGTTCACCAGATAGAGAGTGCTTATTGAGTACTAGCCTTTTCGGTAAACATTAGGCACCTACTATGCGATTCTACTAAGCGCTTAGGGACAGCATGCAGCGCCTATTTTGCACCAGCCTTTTGCATTTATCTCATTTAAACAAGTAGGAAGTGAAGCTCCATGCTCTGCCCAGGGTGGGGGCTCTGGCCCGACGAAGCTTGCACACCTGAGTAGGGACAGGAGGGGAGACGGCGTCCTCTTCCGGCGCCCTGCAGACCCAGGGCGATCCGGAATGGCTAAGGGATGAAGAGGCCGGGAGAGGTCAGCCTGAGGGCAAGACCAAGCGAAAGGCCAGGCTGAGGCCCTGCCCGCCCGGGGTGCCGGGGTCCGCGGAACGGGGGGCGGGGCCGGGCGGGCGGGGCCTGTATTGTCCGCTCCGCGGGGCATGCCGGGAGCCCCGCCCCCAACATGGCGTCTCACTGACAGTTGGCTGCCGAGCGGCAGAGGCGGATCCTGCTCCTCAGGGCAGCGGCGGCGGCGGCGGCGGCGGGGCCGGGGTCTCCGGAGCCGGGGTGGGGAGATGGCTGCTCGGACCGCCTAGGGCGGAGCTGCACGGGCGAGGCGGCGAGCGGGGCGCTGCCTGCGGACGCTGCCATGGACTGGTGATCGCGGCGGCTCCTGCTCGAGTCTCACCGGGCCGGGCGTCTGCTCCTCAGCGCCAACCCGCAGCCGGGGCCATGGGCTCGTCGGCGGCCGCGGCGGCGGCGGCGGCGGCGGCCGCAGACTCGGCGCAGTGGCTGTCGGTGAAGGAGGAGACCATCTTCCTGCACGACGGGCTGATCCGGGTTACCGACCTCGCCGAGCTGCCCAGCGAGATCCTCGGCGCCCCGGAGGCCGCCGACACCGACCTGGAGGTGAGCGAGGCTGCCCTGGGACCCCGCCGTCGGCACCTCGGGTCGGGCCCCGCACCTCCGCCTTGCCCCAGCCCCGAGCCTCCCGATGGCTGCCCGGGCAGGTGTGTGTGGGCGCCGGGCGGGCAGGTGGGGGCCGCGGCCGCAGGTCTGCAGCCCGCCCGCCTCCCTCCCTCCTCCGGGCCTCGCGCCCGCCGGGGATTTCATTTGTGGTTTCATTTTGAACGTTCCGACACCCGGGATTTTATTAGACTATGACCGGGCACGGCCTCACTGCCCTGGAGGAGCCGCGGCCACCACCCGGCCCTCTCTCCCCTCCCCCACGGACCCCCTGGACTCTCTTCCAGGGCACACCCAGGTTGCTTAGCTTTGGGGACATATTTATTTTAACCCTGTATATCCTCCCACCCTTTTATTCCCCAGGTCTGTGTTGGTTGTTTCCCCCCCCCCCCCCGGGAGAGGGTAGTGGCAGTTGCGGGTCCGCGATGGGCAATCCAGCAACTTCTCTGTGTCGTGCCTTGGACTGACACGGGGCCTTTGTCAGGGATGCGGGCGGTGTGGACAGCGAGGTGGGGATGCTACAGCAGCCCTCCGTGCGCTCTCTGGGAAGGGTCACGGGCGCTTTAGGCCTTTTCGTGTGCTTGGGGGTCTCTGAGAAGCCCAGGCCTAGGAGCCGTGGCAGGTGCAAAAGCAAATCTCATCAGCTGTGCTGCTTGGCTTTGGGGGCAGAAGGAGACCAAATATGCTTGGTTAATGGGAACTTTCCACCGACTTCACTCGGTTTGGTGTTGGCCCAGAGATGGGAATACTGGCAGTATCATTGCATGGAGGCCGGCGGATGCTGACACGGCTCCCCCTCCACTTTGTGGGATGACATTTTGATGTGTAGGTAGCATGAGGTGTCATAAAATTGTTACTGTCGCAAGGAGGGCTCTCTGGGCTAGGGCACAGAGAGGATGGCCTGTCTTCTAGCTATAAACGGAATGCGAAGAATCTTTTGTGTTTTTGCGGTTTTGCGTGCAGTTTGGCTTTCAGCACAAGGAACATTTATAGAAATGAATTAAAACCCATTACTGTGTGTTTCTGGAAACGGCAGTGATCAGATCACGTTGGCCGAGACATTTGGACGTGCTTGAGATGTGAATAGCTTCCACTGTATTTTTGTGTCTGGGTTTGAGATTGCTTCAGCATTTCAGTTGGGAACTCTTAATTGATTTATTTTACAATCTGGCCACCAAAAAAGGAAAGATATAAGTTGGTAGGGAATTCCTAACAGGGAGTCATAGTCTTATTGTGTCTCATTTGGGCCTATTCTATAAAAAGCAAGGTGTGTCTGAGTGTCTTATCTGCCTGAAAACTCAGAGGGTGTTATGCTATGATGGTGGAATCTTTTGATTTAATTGGCTCAGTTGTGTGTGAAAGGTGGGAAGCGGATGCTTTTTGTTCCTTAGAGACTATTCCAAGTTCGCAGAACCAAAATTTTTATATATATGTAAATTATGTAATTTTTTATTTTTAGGATTAGAAAGAGTAGGATTAGTTAAAATACCTGTGCTATTAAGTTGGCTTTCTTAAAATGTTTACTGTATAAATGTATTGAGTGAATTTCTCAGCTGTTTCCACAGAAGAATAGTTTTAAAGGGAAGAACCTCTCTAGCCTGCTAGATTAAAAATTTTTTTTTTATATTTTTAAATTTATGGTCTGACTTCTCAGAAACTAGTATGAGTATGGGTAATAAACATTTATGACTGGCAGTAGTGAAGAACTTTTTTCATTTCTTTCCACATGGTATACAGGCTATATAGCATCAGGAGAAACAGCTAAGAATGTTTTTGTGGCTATTATATTTGTGATTGGGTATATTCACATTTAATTATTTGATAATAATACTGATTAAATGTATCCTATGTGTCAGACATTATCTTATTAAATTCTCAAAAGACCCTAGGAGCTAATAATTGGAAATATCGCACCCATTGTACAGATGGAGCAAGTAAAGTGCAGTGTAGGTATGAGACTTGGTCAAGATCACATAGTTAAAGAGCTTGGACATTAACCAAGTTCTGTTCATCTCAAACATATCTCCTAATCATAATACTTTACTGCCTCCATGCATGTATAATATTTTTATTAGCAATTGTTTCTAAATTTCAGAACTGGCTACAGATGGAGTAATAAACAGATATCTTTATTGCCTTTCTAATAACTCTTTCATATTTGAGGAAGATTAGAGGTTTATCAATTTATTAAAAGCTAACTTTTGAAATACTACCATGTCTATAAAGTCACTCTTCAAGCTCTCCTTCCAGTGGACATCTGGGTGAATAATGGCCATTTTTCACTGGATTTTATAATATACAGAATCCTTCAGCTAACAGTTTTGGATTAGGAGAGATGAGACTCAAACTAAGTCAACTAATTTATGACTGGCAACCTTAATGCAGAAGACTGCAGTAGAGTCTCAAATTTTAGAGCAAAAAAGGACTTTAGAGATAATAGTTTCCCTCATCTTAGAAAGAAATTATCTGAGATCAGGAGAGGTTATGACTTGGCTGCTATAGCGTAGCTAGTTATGGCAGGGCAAATACACCCTGGCTTTCTTGCCTTTGAATTCCAGTGTTCTTTTTAGTCTGTGTTACTCAAAGTTAAATGTCAATCTGAAAAAAGAATCCATCCCTAAGAAGTATACCAACGTGGACTTAGTATGTTCATTTAAGCAGTAGCAGAGTATTTGAATTAAAATTTTTCTTCCCAGTAAATTCCAAACAGATGTTTTGTTTTTTTTTAAAATCAATAAATAGTGCTTAATCAATAAATTCATTCAACGAGTATTGGTAGAATTTAGAAGTGAGCTGGGCCCACTGACCTGGATGCTGGGGACATAGCAGTGGGTAAAATAAAATCCTTGTCCTCAAAAAGCTTATATTTTAGTGGGAGGATATACAGACAGTAACAATTAAATATATAATACGACGTGTGTGTGTGTGTGTGTGCGTGTGCGCGCGTGTGTATGTATGTGTATATATATATATAATGGCAAATAAGGGCTAAGGAGAAAAGTATAGCTGAGTGAAGAGGTGAGAACACTGGGAAGAGACTGCTTTATATCAAGTGGGCAGGAAAGGAAAGCCCAGGGTGGCTTTTGAGCAGAGACCTGAAGGAAGTGAGGAAGTATGCCATATGGCTACCAGGGAAAGAGCATCCCACACGGAGAGGACAGCAAGAGCCAAGTCCCTGAGAGGGAAGCATCCTTAGCATGTTTTGAGTTCTGAGCTCAGTCAACGCAGGGGAAGAGGAAAGATGGGGAGCGGGGGGGTTGCAGATCAAGTAGGGCCTTGTGGGTAAGGGCTTTCGATCTCACTCTGGGTGACCGAAAAATGCGAGTGAGGCTTTTATCTTGTCCTTGAAATAACTGTCTGTATTTGTTTTAATCTTATGTTGCTGGCAGAAAACAAGAACATATAGGAAATTATTTTTTAAGTGTGGAAATAGATATACATTTAAGAGAAATAAAAAAGCAATAGCTCAAAAATGACAGCTCTAATGTTACTGAATTTTGTGTTGTATTTCATAGAACATTAATCTTTTTAAAATAAAGGGAATTCAAGGGGGAAAAAAGCAATAGCTTAGTTGTGGAAGCTCCAAAACCTTCCTGCTTCTTATGTCATTTTTTTTTACAAACTCCTCATGGGGACAGGCGTTATATATATGGATGTTGACAGAGAAGTTAATTAACATGCCCAAGGTAGCCAAGATATTTCTTACCCCACAGTTGATATTTATTTTAAATTCAAGCATTTTGGTTAGTGTTTCTCATGTTTCATTGTGTTTGCTTGTAAGTACGCCCTTAACACACACACATGCGCATACCACACAAAGACTCGAACCTGAATGTTCAAGTCAGCTTTATTTGTGACTGCCAAAAACTGGAAACAATCCAAACATCCATCAACAGGTGATTGGATAAACAGATGTGGTGCATTCATACAGCAGAATACTACTCAGCAATGAAAACGAAGGAACTGTTGTTACAACGTGCATGTATGCTGAGTGCAAGAAGCCAGCCAAACAGGAGTTTAGACTGTGTGACTTCATTTATGTGAAATTATAGAAAATGCGAACTGCTCTGTAGTGGTTGCCTGGATATACAGGCAGGTAGGAAAGGATGAGAGGGATGGAGTATAAAGGCACATGAAGAAACTTTTGGGGTGATGGATATTTTCCTATTTTGATCGTGGTGGTGGTTTCACATTTGCATATGGATGTCAAAATTCATCAAATTATACACTTTAAATATGTGCAGTTTATTGTATGCCAATTATACTTTAGTAAACAAAACGTAAAAGGCTCAGCAGGGTTATCTGTCTGTTACTTGTTTGTTTTGCTGTGTAAGGAAAGGGCCATTTGGGTTTGGAGATGATCAACTGAAATAGACAAAGCTTTGAATACTTAGGATACCTCATGTGAAATCTCTGAAATGATATTTACATGTACATTGATCTCTTCTCCTAGGAGAATACCACTAGCCTGTTTATCCTTTGGGCAACATCCTTTCGAAAGTGTTTAGTACTTTTATAGAATTTCAGATTCTAGATTTAGAAGTGTTAATGAATAGATGAACAAACTACACCCATTCACCAGTAGCATTGGTGACCATGCAGTTAATGAGCACTTTAATAGGAGTCACTGAATCTTGGGTGTAGTGTTCTGTGAGCTTGGGCAAAAGGCACAACAAGCTCTTAGGCTTAGGCTCATCTGACTAGAGCTAAAGTGAAAATCAAGTGTCTGAGGACTGTGGGAGACAGTACTGCCTAGACGTTAAAGTTACATTTAAAGAGTCAGACTGAGATTGAAATTCTAGCTCTGCCCCTTACTAGCTGTGTGACCTTGGGCAAATTCCATACCTTTACTAATCCCGCAGCTTCTTTGTCATCATTGTCCCCATCTCTACTACTGCCATGACAATAGCACCAGAATATTGTGTGCCAGGCTCTGTGCTAAA